AATATACTTTGATTCTCCTATATTTATCCCTACATTGTTTTCTTACATAGGCTAATGAAATCCAATTTGTCACTTACACTGCCCACCGTAAGGTTATTGAGGAATTTAAGGTTGTTCTACAGGACTTTGTGAGGTTAGGATTAGATATGATTATTGGATTTCATAAATTGGAGAAGCCGTTGCCATTTGAGGGAGTTTTCAATGAAACAATTGTGAAAGAATTTTACTCAAACATTCCCAAGAACATTGGTACAACTGGAAATCCATTTAGGTGGAGGACATATGTGAGGGGAAGACTGGTGACCTTCAGTCCATATATGTTAAGGGACTGGCTGAGAATTGATGAGGTTGTTGTGGGGAATGATGATGATATAGCCTACAGGGGTCAGTACAGCCGCAAATGTGTTTGGCAGTCCAAACCTGGCAACACCAACAGTCTAGAGTCTAGACGTTCGTTCTCCAGTTTACCCCACCGATGTTTAGGTTGAAGATCTACCAATTGTAATCTTAGTTGTGCCTTTGGACCATGAATCATCAAGGCACACCATGAATCATCCAGTGCCTTGTAGCCTAGGATGGAAGGATGATCTGATTTTACCACTCCTATATCTAACTCATGCACTAACTATTTGAGGGATGTATACTCTAGTATAACTATTTAAATATACTCGTTGGATGACCGTATAACTGCTATTCTTAATGGTTGGTTACTATACTCTTTAATTTCAAAAGAAAAAGAGTAGTAGTAGGTTCTTTTGGTTTTTGAACACAATTTGAAAAATGTAGGACGTGTTTGCTACTATTGTTTATGTTTGCCTACACACTCTACTATTTATTATTGTGTTCATGTAGTTAGAGAGAATTATCATGTGTGTACTTGGGAGAACTAAATGAGGAGGAGTAGTTCATGTAAGTGTTCTCTCTCACATGCACTCGTAACATGACATTAAAAATTCAAAATGAGGTTTTTGAAATTAAGCTATGCTAAAGGGGGAGATTGTAAATAAAATATATGGTATATTTTTACTTATCTTTTAGTTATT